CACACACACACACACAGTACCAGCTCAGCTCTTCTGCTTATTGGAACCAGGAGACTGTGCTTGTGTTAGTTAGCTCCCTCACATGTTCACGTGTGGGCAAAGCTGGCGTGTCTCACACAGCTGTGTTCCATTAGTGGCGTCTACTGCCATGCCGACACCATTCCTTTAACGCACACACGCATGCTCACTCATGCAGGCACACACACACAAATATATGCACACATATACATGCACTGGTAGCAGATTCCAGTTGGGCCTCTTGTTTATCCTCTCTGCAAGGGAAATCCCAACAGACATATCTATGTCTGACAGGCTGCGTTTCTACTGTGACAAACAGAGGTAGCAATAGCGAGATAGAGTTCTGTAGGCATGCACTTTGACGAACCAAATAAACCCATCAGGCCTATATTGAGCCCTCTGCTCTGAACAGAATGACCTTGTCTGCACTCAGACAACAAGATATGTAGGAATAAACCAAGACTGGGAGATAGAGAAGGGGAGGAGAGGTTTGAATGCAAATGCTGACAACCCAAATGAACTACTCTGGTCTGTGTCAGCCTCCTGTGGTTCTAATCTTAAGCCTAGATCAGAACAATTCATTGACAATAGCACACACACACTAATACACCACCATGTTTGTTTCTTTTGGCTGTGGACCTTTCAACTGACCACCCATTAGGCAGGATAGGTGTGTTTATCAAGCCTAACACTACAAACACAATGCATGTAAATACACAAACATGTGTCTGTATTAACTTAATAGGATGTTTGGGAAACTCTGAGCCTGCAGATGTGCACACATCTAGAGTCTTATTGCTATTCACATTACAGTAGTGTCTGCTGGCTCACAGATAGGCAGGTAAATATTTTCCTGAGAGATTGGGTGAAAAGGTATGCCAAAGAGTGAAGCCTTGTGTGGATAGAGGAAGGAAAGGGAGATGTGGTTAGTGGTGGAGAGCAGCCGGTCCGTCAGTCAGATACCCCAGGTGGTTCAGATATGATTGACATGTCCGTGCCTCGAGGGTTGGCTTGGTGTAAGCCCCTTCAGTGTAGATGAGGTCTTTCCATGGGCCCCAGCACTACTTAAAATGCTTGGATGAAATGAAACAGGATTCAGGGTTAGCCCACTTGACTTAAGCCTTATAGTAGACCATTGCCCCGATGTAAATCCTCCTCGGTCAGGTCAGTCATTTGTTTAAGATTTTCTTATGTTTTCTTTTTCCGTTGCCTTCTCTGTTTTATTATCCTCCATGTCTCACCTAAAAGGCGCCATCAAATCATTGAGCACAGCGTCCACACTCATTGATAATCTCACATCACATCAAAACTGCCTGAGGGAAAGGCAGGCCATGCTCATTCTATATGTTTGTCTGTGTGTGAATCTCACTCATTCTGTCTGTTCTTTACACATCCTTTCTACTCAATCTGTGACTTCACTCTGGAATTAAATTAGATTTCCTGCATGATCACACTCAAACGTTAGCATTTTTACTGCATGGTTATCAGTTTGTAAACCGACTGTACGACTGTAGGACTCAGTAGCATCATGTATCTGGAATGTGTGATCAGTGTTTTCTATTTATTTCAAAAAAGCAATCCTTTCTTTTAGATTGTGATCGGAGAATGCTTCAGGATTCACCAACTACATGAGGGAACTAAGTCTTTCGTTGGGAATCCTTATGTCGCAGCCCTCTACAAACAGGTTAGTTCTCCATAAGTGTGCTTTCATATGTCATCTCGTAACAGTGATACTCACCAAAGAAAAAACACAAGAGCAAAAGTGTAAGGAATGTATCAAACAGTGTGTTTATCTGCTGGCTTAGCTAACGATCAATTATAGACAATTACATTGATATTACGTCCAATCATGATTGTGTGTGATCTTGCAGATGGGTGTGTTTCTCTTTGGATGTGCCGTCAGCCAGTCATTCACAGACATTGCCAAGGTGTCAGTGGGTCGCATGAGACCCCATTTCCTAGATGTGTGTAAACCAGATTTCTCTACCATCAACTGTTCCCTGGGGTACATCACTAACTATACCTGCACTGGCGAAGAGAGCGACGTACAGGAGGCCAGGTTTGTGTAATCACAATACATTCACATACACAATACAATATACAGTGTATTAAAAAATACTCCTGAAATAGAAAAACTGACAGACTCTTTCTCCCCCTCAGGAAATCCTTCTTCTCAGGACATGCCTCTTTTTCGATGTTTACCATGCTTTACCTGGCTGTAAGTAATGATTAAACTCTCTTACGTACACAAACACACATCACACCACACTCATATTCATGCAAGCACACACATGCTGAGAGCCACAGAAACAATGGTTTACAGATTGTAGAGGGAGTCATGGAAAGAAGGTTGGGCTGTGATTTAGGGATTCACTGCTTGAATAAAAAACACAACATTGTTCTTATCCATTTCTCCACCTCCTGCTCCTCTCTATCTCCATACTCAGTTTATAAAAGAGTTTCATTCTCTTTTTTACTCTTCCGAGAATGGATGGATGCACTCCACCTGTTTTCTTCAGAGCAGCTGTGTGTGCACTTCCTGTCCTCTCCTATTTCCCTCAATCTCTCCCTCTCACTCCACCTGTTGTGGGTCTCGGGTGGGGCTTAGCACCCTAGAGGCATTTCATGCTTCAAACTGTTTAATTACACACACACACAGTCAATTGCCAGCTCATAACTCCCAAATTATCTCCTCCCCCTCCTTCTCTGAAGAAAGGAGAAGAGAGTCAGTGTTTTGGATCTTGGCTGGCTCAAGCTTGGTTACAAGGTGGTCTCGGTTCTCACGGTGGGTTGACAGTGGAAGTTCTGGTGATTTGTACGGTATTGTCATGCAGTGAGAGGGTACTGTGAGTGCTGCGGGTATTTTCCAGCCTCTGGGTGAACCTACAGCTGTCCTCTGGTCAGAACAAAAAGAGATGAGAGTGAATAAAAAGCAGGGGAAAAAGCAAAGAGGGAATGGAGATGTATCCAGACCACAGAGTGACACACTAGTCCGAGACCAGTGTTCCAGCTGCGGCGAGCTCAGGACCGTAGCCAGAGGAGGAGGCTGGTGCAAACCAGAGGAGAGCAGAATCAGTGGAGGAGAGGAGGAACAGTTTGTAGTCAATGTTTTGGAATACTAAACCAGCCTGAAACAAAGCCCACAGTGGAGGCATTCCTAGTGGAAAAAGGAATCTGCGGCATTTTTTGTTTTTGCCAGCTAAAAACCATCTGACATCATGTTTTCACTCACAGAACTTCCCACTCTCCTGACGACTCCATAGATGTGTATTCTTGTGTTTCTCGTGTGTCTATTGTTAGTAACAGCAAAAGTCCCATCAATAGAACATGAGGATGTATAATTACTTTGTAAGTTTCATTGTATAGCTAATAAAAATCTAGGATGATAATCATTTGGATAACGAAATACTCAATGAATCAACCATTCTTTTCTACACTAGATGCATTACATCAACAGTTCTGATGAAAACAGATTTTCAGGTTTGTGTTTTGTCCTCAAGAAACCATTTTCCACGATCACAGACAAATGTGGATCCTCTCTTCCTTGGGTTGTTCCCCTCAATTTCGGCCCTTATCTTTGCTATCTCGTTGCTCGCCAGGGTGAAAGTGTTTCCACAGTGTGGCTGTCACCTGGCACTCCCTCCCACAGCCCCCAGTCATCTTGCTAATTGACACTGTGAGTTTGCAGCACTTCCTTTCCTGCAGAGCATGCCTGAGCACTGTGCCTGTGACCAATGTGGGTTGAGCTGAGGCTTAAAAGCCCCCTCAGATGGCACGCAGATAACTGGCACAGACTTCATGGCACGCTGTACAGCTACACCGCAACCACAGACGAACAAGCGTGTGTGTGCATTCATGCGTCCCACTGAGCTGTCTTTTTTTTAGTCTAATGTGTATACATCTCTGTGCATACTATCCAGTAGCAAAAGACTGGGTCATTTCTGTGAGTTGTCCATGCCTACAGAACCTACTACCACTGAGGGAGATAGCATGTTGTTAGTTAAAATAAAACCAATTTGTTTGTTTGTGATAGATGTGGTTTTAACCACAACTATGCTTTTGTCTCAAAGCATGGTGTGAACCAGAGGAGAGGAAGGGAAGGGGGCTGCTGAGTAAAATGAAGCTGTGTTCTCATTCTTTTCCACTTTGTTGTGTTTTCTTTTATTTAACACTGTCTTTGAGTCAGAGCAAGAAAGACAGAGGAAGATCAGCTGGAATGAGCTGGATTCTTTTAGAAACCACCAGACTTTGTGTCGCTCTTGTCTCCCTCTGTCATGAGAATCTGCTGGGACTCCTTTTGTTGTTGTGTTTTATTGTTGTTTTACTTAGATCTGACTGTTTGACACACAGAGCAAATTTCTGGGATGATGACTAGGGTCAGAAGGGCAGTCTATTTAAGTCTGAGCTGGATTTTAATGAGGAGGCAATGCATTTTGAGATTTTAGAAGGTCATTAGGCCTCTCAGTTGCTTATCATGACTTTATGTGTTCATGCTTCTGCTGAATCACATGTTATTTGGGTTTCTCACTGCCCTTCAGTCAGATAGGGCTAAGCTGATTGGCAGGTTACCATAACTCTTTGTTTTGACTAAGTGCTTATTCTTTCTCCTACAGCCTCCATCAGAGTTTGCTTAAAATTTGAGAGGTTTAGGATGTTGTGTGAATTTTTTTTTTCGGATGTTGCATTCATGGCTGCAGGACGTCAGACAAAAGTACTTATCAGTAGCCCTCGCCCGTTACCTGAGAACCTCTGCGGAGGAAGCCAGAAGTCTAAACATCCCTGCCAGGGAGGAGAGAGCAAGACTGGGAGGGATGGGAGGGATCGCTTCCCCTGCTTCCGGAAGGAGAAGAACAATGACAGAGTGTCGTAGAGGAAGTGCGAGGGAGCTTTACGTCCACATCTACAGGGGCTCGTAGTGGATGGGGGTTGGTGGGAGGCACTGCGGCTGTCTGTAGGTATTGTTAGCCTAGCTGATTACAAGACACAGGTTGGGAGGTTTTGGACTGGGTAGACCTTGGCTGAGGCTGGCTCTCCCAGGCCCTCTGTCTCTGGGTGTGAGAGACAGGAAGTTAAGGGTATGAGTGGTACAGTAACACAGGATGTCTGAGGAACCTGGGCTGAACCACTGTGCATGTAGGTGAATAAAAAGCAAGAGGCTCTGCATATATTTGCACTTGTATGAGCGACTTAAAGTGGCCTTGGAATTGTTTTGGCTCTTCTCATTCTTTATCATGACCCAGAAAATTTTTTCTGGCTGCGGGTGGAGCGTGGGGGTGCATCCTCTTTGTCTTCTATTTACTCTAATAGAGGGTAGAGAGTTTATCCTAACAAAGTGCAGAAATGTTCATGGCAGGGTATGTATGTATGTGTGTGTGTGTGTGTGTGTGTATTCCACTGGCTCTGTGGTCATGCTGTTTTTACAGCTGGGATGTTGAACCATGAATTAGTCATGTCCGGGTCTCAGGCACTCGAGTGTGTGTGTTGTGGAAGAGAGTATGTGTTTCTTTGCGGGTCAGGCCAGCCTGCTCACTTTGATTCAGTCTAGACCTCTCAGACAGTAATAATACAGACACACATGCACAGCAGGTGAAGGTTTAAAAAGTCAGTGTAACATATGTTAAACTTAATAACTTTTATGAAAATGTCCAACCCAGTGTATGTGAGGGTTCAGGTCATTACGTCATCAGTAATATGATGTGGATTACATGTTTTACACTATCAGGAAATTCTTTTTTCAAAGGGTTATTCATGTCATGTCATTTATACAGTAGCTGTGCATGTTAAATTCTAAAACTAAATAACACTATTTACGCTATCTCTCTCTCTCTTCCCAGTTCTATCTCCAGTCCAGGTTTACATGGCGCGGCGCTCGTCTACTCCGCCCACTGCTCCAGTTCACCCTGTTGATGATGGCCTTTTACACCGGCCTATCACGTGTCTCTGACCACAAGCACCACCCGACTGATGTCCTGGCAGGCTTTGTGCAGGGAGCCCTGGTGGCCTACTGCATAGTGAGTGCACACTTGTCAATCAAAACACATGAATGCAACTTACGCATGAAAACTGTATGAAAATATGAGTGATACAGCATGAATGCATACATCTTGCTGCAACCTAATACTTTTCCATAATTGACCATTGGGGATCCTACAGACGGACCAACCTTCAAATAAAGTTTACCTCGGCATAGCTCCCTCTTTTTCTCCTCTCTGCTTTTTCTGAAAAAGAGAAATGGAGCCGGCAGCGAAGTGAGGAGAATCTGATTCCCTTTAATGAATAACACATTGCTTGGAGCCTAGTTCAGGAGTGTGTGTGCGAGTGTGCATGTTTTTGTGTGTGTCTTGTGTGTAAGTGTGAATCCATACACTGCAACCTTCTTCACTACTTTAGTGACATATTGTCACAGCAGTTGCCAGATGATTTTCGTAACCCTCATCATTACACTAAGCTAGGTGGAGCCAAGGAAAATTGAAATCGGGTCAAGAGGAAAGTAGAGGGAGTGTAAAAAGAAAAAGTGAGAGAGAGTATAAACCTTTGAAACAGGATTGAGGCTGTTAATTATTTTGGGTTTTTTATTTGGCGGCTCTGGTTCTATCAGCACAGCAGGCCGCTGCTAAACTCTGCTGCCTTTGGGAAAAGTATGGAAAGACACATACACACACACACACACACACACACACACACACTCAACAAGCACACACAAGCAATGCTTACCTTTCTACATGATCCAAATCATGAACGTGGAAAAGATTAGATTCATAAAATTCAGCAAGACCTTAGTAGTGGCGCCTAGGCAGACTTTGGCACAGCTAAAAACAATCACAGTGCAGCACTGCCAACCACCCCTCCCTCTCAACACCACACCACACCGACCACACACACACACACACACAGAGCACACCAGGTTCCTTGAATGCCAGGATTATGGAAGGATCCAAGGAGCAGAAATCAGTGATTAACGCTCTGACAAAATCAGTAGTCCTCCAGCTGGGTGTAGCTCCTGGACGACATCAGCTTTGACAAGAAGAAAAAAAAGAATGTTTTCAAAAATATGCTCAATTTATGAGCTTGACCTCTGAATGGGCAGATCTGGCAGGAGGAGTGAAGGGAGGGAAATGACAGGAGAGAGGAGCCTTGTCTACTTCTTGGCTCTGGATGCGTGTTGGTTTAATCCAACTCAGCCATTGCACAGCCCTCAGAGAGACAGATTAACACACACACATAGACACACTGTTCATATACACCTGCATACCCACCACACACACATACAATCATAGTCAAACCCCTGCCGATCAAGACGGTGAGGTTAGTTTAACAATCCTTGACGCCCCTTCTGATTTGCTCAGTCTTTGTAGAAACACACATCTGTGAGTACTTTAGCTTGGCTGTTTCAGCCTCTCCATAAGCAGCGGAGCAGAAAGGACCTGACAAGAGATGAGTGGAGACAAGACAGAGGAGGTATGACGCCGGTGTGCCTCAGAAAGCCAGCAGAAAGTACTAAATCCAAAGTGTGAACATCTTTAGATCTTAAGCTAACATGTGTGCAGTATTCTTTGAGATATTAAGTTTGAAATGTAAGAATAAAAGCACAAGCTCACACTTTGAAATCATGTCAGAGCATATATTTTTCCCTGCTCTGACATGTTAAAACGTCTATGCTTAGATAAAAATAAATGTCTTTGCTTTGATCAACTACATGTCCTTTTGATGTACATGTTTGCTGTTCATATGTGTGACTTTGATTTGTCCTTGAAGGTCACTGAGAACACACGCTGTAACAGCATGACAAACATTTCTTAGTTTATACCATTAGTTGCAGTAGTAGCTTTGTTATTGGAGAACTTTGTAGTCAATCATTCTCATAAGATGTTTTCGTGAAGCAAAAGCAGTTGATACTTAAGAGCCCCATGGCAGCCTGGGTAGTGTGGTCTGTTAACCCAGCATGAGCTTGTGTACATACATGAAAACACAAAACAACACAAACTGACAGTGCACTTGTCGTAGATATGAAAGTCTGATTTGAAGAACAAAAGAACACATTGAACAAGTTAGTGGATTTGCACTTAAGTCCCAGGTGTGCGATTGTGAACAATTGTTCTAAATATCACATGATGAGTTATACTGCCTTGTGGAAAAGTGTCTTTCTTTCCAAATACATTTTAGTAATTGTCTGAATAGTGAGTTGTTCCATGACTTTATTGTCAGTGCTATTCCAGGTTTCCCTAGGCTACAGTTACCTCTTTAATCCCAGAGCACCCCCATTGAGTGCCAGTAAATGAACAATACAAACATGGGGCAAGAATGAACACATTCATATGTAGTGACGTGTTAGACTGCGGCCTTGTTGCCTTTGTTGTAAGTTAATTGCTGGTTTACACTTAACTGGTGAGTCGGACACATGAAGCTTATTGAAGAATATGTAGATGAATGTCTGTTTTGGGTAAAACACTCCAGACTATGTCTGCAGGGTTGTGATCCAGAGAATCGCAGAACCACAACAGGAAATGGTCCGTCTGTCCTACCTGGCACTTCCCATCAGACACATTGACCTAGTTTTCAACATGTGTCGTAATAAAGGTCAAGAGGACCGACTCCAGCAGGAAGCAGCTGTCAGAGAGAAAGCCGAGGCGGCGGTCATTTGTTTTTTCGAGGTTCATTGTCACAGTGGAGAGGAGTCGGGTCAGGCATTAAAGAAGGAGGGAGCAAGAGGATGCTGTCTCTGCACAATGACATGCTCCACATGCTCAGGGTCTCAAATACTGAAGCAGCATCTGTGTGGTCAGTGAACTTGTGTAGAAGCAGGAAGTCTTCTTTTATCACTCCACACACACAACTCAATTGTCGAAATTCTGAACTGTGTATAACCCGCACCCAGTTCACACCTTTTTATTTTTAAAATGCACATACACATTGTGACACATGTTAGCGTGGTTTTTGGTTTTCAGTAAACTGATCACTGTCACATTGTCACATTGTCAAAAACTAACCATTCCTAAAATAAAGTAAAACCTCTCAAACACACTCAGAAATGTACACCCAACCACATGTTCGCATGTGATAGGTTAGCTCTGAAAAGCCCCCTTTTTCTCAGCAATCTCAGCAATGTTTCAGTATATTCAGTTACTGTACTTCCTGTATCTGATTCTGATTCTGATTCTGATTCTGATACTTCCCTTGACCTACATTGGTTTAAATGTATTTGCTGGTGTGTTGTGTGGTTGGGTTGCAATATATTAGTTTCATGTGCAAATCACCATTTTATTCTTTGACAATCAAAGTAACTGCGAGTTAGTGCTCTCATTTCCTGTGTGACTCAGCTTCTTTATGTGTCAGGCTAGTGGTTAACAACACACATTTGAAGACACACACACACCCACATATATATATATATATAT